GCTCGGCCCTCATGGATGTAGAGCCCTCCGTCAGTCTAGAGCTGGCTCTGCCCACAGCTCAAGGACTCCCAGGCAGAGGACGCGGTTTCAGGAGCAGGCTCTGTATCCAGAACCAGTGCCAGAAGCAGCTCTCGTGCCCACAACCAGCGCCACCCTGTGTGGCTAGAATTCCAGGAGTCAGGCTAGAACCAGACAGTCCCACTCCTATTTCTAAAACCCTTGACATTATAGAACCACAGTCAACTCTGCTGGATGGTTCTGGAAGCCCAATGAATCTAGAGCCAGTCAGCTCTGCCCACTGCTCTAGAATTTTCTATCGGCCCAGGACCACAGACAACTCTACCCCGTGGTCATAGAACTGCCCAGACAGAGTAGAAAGGGGCAACTGTCGACATACCTCAGACTCTCAAACTGTCCAGAAACCCAGGTGGTTCCTGATCTGTGATTCTAGAACTCCCTGACACGTCTCAAACCACAGAATTCTGCCTGGGATTTTAGAAACCAACACTGCTCCAGAATCACACTTTTCCACTACGTGATTCCAGAATGTCTTGATCAATATAGCATTGGGAAGCTCCTCCTGTGGTTCTAGAATCCCCTCAATAACTCACAAACGCAGATGCACTGGGCAATTCTAAGAATTATCTGAACAATCCAGAAAGAACAACTCTGCTCATGGTTCTAGAATCCCCCCAACCCAGCTCAGAACCACAAAAAGCTTTGCCCCCATGGCTCTAGAATTCCCTGAGCAACCTAGAGCCAGACAGCAGTGCCAGTGATTCTAGAATATTCTAATCAATAGCTATTGCTTTTTGGAGAACCACAGGCCACAGGGAATGAAACCACATTCCCGTGAACTTAAAGGATAGCCAGTTCTGCCTGCTGTCCTTCATGATCTAAGCATTCCAGAACAACAGAAAACTCTGCTCTGGGTTCTAGAACTGCACCATCCAATATGGTAGCCACCAGGCACATGTGGGTATTGTGCACTTGAAATGTGGCTGGTCTGGACTTAGATGTGCTGTAAGTGTAAAATGCACACCGGATTTAGAAGCTCTCATTAAAAAAAAATGTAAAATTAAAAACTGTTGATTATATGTTGAAATAACATTTTAAATGTATGGGCTTAATTTAAATGTTATTAAAGTTAATTTTAAGTGTTTGCTTTTTTAATGTGGGTAACTAAAAACTTTCAAGTGACATGTGGCTCAAATTCTATTTCTGTTGTATAGCTGTAGAACTTTCTTGAATTGGACAGTTCTGCCCAGTTCTAGTACAGCTCCTAAAGGTCTAGAACCAGAGATAAATTCTATTCACTCCATGGTTTTAGAACTCCCCAGTCTAAGTAGAACCTGACAGCTCTGTTCATCATTCCAGAACACCCTCATCAGCTGAGGTCACTTTAATCTAGAACCACAGGCAAAATGCTAGGCTCTGGAACTCTCTAGGTGAATCACAGCTCCACCCATGACTCTAGAACCTTCTTGGAACTACAAGTTCAAACCAGCTTCCTTTCCCACAACCACAGAACTTGTTCTTTGACCTAGAGCCTCAGATAGTGTGGGGGAGAATGTTCTAGAACATTCCAGGTGGCCAGAACAGGTACTTCTCATGCCTTGAGAGCAGATTGGCAAACTTTTCTGCAAAGGCCCAAACAGTAAATATTTTTTATTTTGTGGGCCAGATGGTCTCCATTGCAACTACTCAGTCTGGCCGTTGTAACATGAAAGCTGCCACAGACAACATGCTAATGAATGGGCATGAGTCTGTCCCGATAAAGCTTTATTTATAAAACTTTACTTGAAATTTGAATTGCCTATCGTTTTCACCTGTCAAGAAATGTTCTTCTTTCAAGTTTTTTCAACCATTTAAAAATGCATGGGGGCTTCCCTGGTGGCCCAGTGGTGAAGAATCTGCCTGGCAATGCAGGGGACACAGGTTCTAGCCCTGGTCTGGGAAGATCCCACATGCCATGAAGCAACTAAGCGCGTGCACCACAACTACTGAGCCTGTGCTCTAGAGCCCGCAAGCCACAACTACTGAGCCCACATGCCACAACTACTGAAGCCTGTGCGCCTAGAGCCCGTGCTCTGCAACAAGAGAAGCCACCGTAATGAGAAGCCCGCGCACCGCAATGAAGAGCAGCCCCTGCTCACTGCAACTAGAGGAAGCCCATGAGCAGCAATGAACACCCAACACAGCCAAAAATAAACTTAAAAATAATAATAAAATAAAATAAAAATAAAAATGCATGGGACTTCCCTGGCGGTCCAGTGGTTAGGACTCGCGCTTCCACTGCAGGGGTTCGATCCCTGGTTGAGGAACTAAGATCCCACATGCTGCACGGCATGGCAAAAAATAAATTAATTAATTAAAAAATAAATAAATAAAAATGCAGAAGCCGTCTTAGCTCACAAAACATACCAGAAAGTCCACGGATGGTAATTTACCAACCCTTGCTCTAGAATCAAGTCAAGTGCTACAGTTTGCCAAGTCTGTCCTAACGCTCCCTATTCATTCTAGAACATTCTCAGGACTGTCTCTCTTCTTTCAGTTGTCTGGAATCTACTCGAACCCGACCTCAGAGTCTCTCTAGAAGCAACTCGTTACTGGCAAACTTTGTGCCAGGTTTTGGGAGCTTGAGTCGGGCTGTTCTGAAACCCCGAAGTCCCTGGGGCCAGGGTGGGCGGGACACTCACCCTCCTGGAGGGCAGGGTAGGAAGCCAGGGTCTCGGGGCTCTGGAAGAAGACAGAAGAAGGGTAGGCCTGAGTCCTCCTGTTTGGCTCCCAGCAGTGGAGCGGTCTGGGGGGGCGGGGCGGGCTCTACCTGGGCACTGGCAGGTGGCTCTTCAGAAGTGACCAGAGGTGCTGTCTCCAGCCAGAGCTCTGGGGAGCTGCTTGAGCTCCTGCCCTCGTCCTGCTCGACAGAGGCTCCTTCTGCCCACTCCTGGGGGGCCATATCCCCCTCTGGGTCGTCAGGGGGCTGCAACAGGCGAGGAGCAGGGTCCGGAGGTTCCTGGGGACCTGACTGGGAAGGAGGGCGTTCGTCTTGCTGCAAGAGGCTCAGCAAGTCTTCCCGGCCAGCCTCGGCGGACAAGAGCCCATGGGCATCGGTGATGTCCTGAGAAGCCAGGCCATGGCCAGTGGCAATGTGCAAGGGGCACGGGGGTCCGTCTGGGGACAGGCCCACCAGATCACCTGGCAGAGCTTCAAACTGTTGCAGCAGGTCCTGAATATTTAGCCCGTCAAGCTCCATCTGACTCAGGCTGCCGGGGCCTCCTGGTGCCGGGTCCCACGGGCAATCAGGGGTGAGGTCCTGAGAGGGTGAAAGTGTGTCCCTGGGCTCCTCCAAGTCCATGGCTGGAGGTCCTGGAGGGGGTTGGGAGGTTGTCAGGAATTCCATGCCTGGACCCTGGGCTCAAGCCAGCATCTGAAAGAGAGAATCAAAGATGAGATCTCCTGGCTTCCAATTTGGTACCAGGCTCTCACCTGGTATGTATTCATACAGAACACATAATTTAATCCCCATCATACCCCACAAGGAAGGTTCTGCTATGATCCTCATTTTACAGACGAGGAAACTGAGGTGCAGAATGAGCAGCTGCAAGGCTGTGGCTTCCCAGGCTCCAAACCCCGGGGGATTCCCCTGTACCCGTTGCTCCAGACCTCTCCCCATCCGTGGACCCTGTTCACCCCAGCCCTGGTTCTTCCAAGTCTTCCTCCCCGGAGATGTGGAGGCTGGAGACATACTCTGACTATATAGACCCGCCCGGTGTAGGTCGCCGAGACCCAGGGCTCAAGACCTCAGTCCAAGACTTGAGACCCAGAATTTCAGACTTAATACTACAGTTCCAAGATGCCAGAAAGCGGACTCTCATCTCAAAACCTCCAATGCCACCCTCAAGATCGACCCCAGACTCAGACCCCAGACTGAGGTCCACTCAGACCCAGCCTGAAGACACAACTCGAGCCTAAAGCTGAGTTAAGACCCCAGTCCTCTAGCGGACCCCAGACTCAAGACTTCAGACCCGTGACCTCAGGCGCTGGCTCCAGACCTCGCTCTGCTCCGCCGGCACACTCACTTCCCAAACCGAGGTGGCCTCAACCCGCGCGGCCCCCAGAACCCCGCTCCTGGCTTGTCCGGTCCTGCCAGTCACCGCCGCCGCTCGCCAATTCCCGGACTGGGCGCTGGCAGATCTGTCCGCGCAGCACTCCTGGACCACTCCTGGGCATGCGCACGCCCGCGGGGCTTGCTGGGAAGTGTAGTTCTCTCAGCCAGCCTGGCCGCGCGGGGGCGTTAGATGTTGGGACCGTGAGTTCGAGTCCGGAACCTTCATTTACGCACAGTGAAAGCTCGGGCTGGCTTCTGAGCCTGTTTCCTGAACTGCAAAGTGCGGTTTAAAGCCACTGCTTGACTGCTACGGCTTTGCTCATTATTCCAAGGGATGGCAGATGGGAAGAAATAGGACTGGAAAATACTAAAGGAGCGTGAAAGGCGGACTCTTTCGACTCCAGGGACACCGGAAGCGACGCGGGGACCATACTGTAGACAGACCTCCGGTGTGGCACTCAGTAGGGCGGCCGAATGGCTCGCCTGGCTTAACTTTACCTCCCTAAACTTCCGGCTTCCTCAGTTGTAAACTGGGTATAATAATAGCACCTACCTCCTAATTAAGCGAAATCGAGCTGGTTACAGATTTAGCAATAGATTTAGAAAATAATGAGCCTAATAATGGTGTTAACTTTTATTAGTTTTAGGTTTTCAGTAATTGCTCATTGACTAGAATCAAGGATGTATAAGTTGTGATACTTAAAGTAAGTGATAAGTAACTGAAGGGCAAGAAGTCGGACATCCTTTGGAAGTCGCCTCGTGCAGTACCTGGGGATATCTACAAAAGTTTAAAGAAATCACAATTAACGTATGCTTACGGCCGGGATAATACATTTCCCATAAATCTCTAGGAGCCTACAACTCCCAAGCACCCCTCGGCCGCAGACGTCCTCCGGAAACGTGCACGTGCAGGCGGCCGGGATACGTCATGGCGGCCAGGCGCCTCTTAGGTGCTACGTGGAGCTCGGCCGGCTGGCGGGTTCGGGAGCTCCCGGACCCCGCCGCTTCTGTAAGACTCCATGTACGAGATTATGCAACCAAGAGACCGGGTGAGCTGGGTTAGGAGGGACCAAGATGAGAATGGTAGGGACATTGGGGAGTTGGTAGTGCGCAAGCGCTGGTTGGGGAGGCACGTCCTAGAGTCAGCGCGCAAGCGTAGAGGCTAAGCTGTTTGCGCAGGCGCAGTTTGAGGTACCTAGGGCGCGATTGGACTCAGTGCGCAGGCCCAAGTTTTTTTGTTGTTGTTTTTTTTTTAATGTCGGAGTGGGGGTAGGAGTAGGTCATGGACTTGAGTCCCTATGACGTTTCTGCTTCCAAATTAGTCGCCTTTGGCAGGTTATCACCAGAAATTGGGGCCCATCTAAGTATTAAAACCAAAACAAGGTTATTTAAATTTTCTCTGGATACAGCCTTGCCCGATCTCCTTTGTTGAAAGGAGGGATTTGGCAGACGTGAGGTTTTAAAGACACAGAGCAGCCAGCGGAGGCTCTTTTTTCGTGAGATAAACAGAAGGAATGAAAATGGGATTGAAGAGGAATGACTTGGTTACTCTGAATATCAGTGTCATTTAATGCACTATCCGTGTCCCAGTTAAAATCATTTTGAATGCAGCAGACAGGGTCCAGCCAGGGCAGAAAGGGACGGCTGGCCTCCCGAGGGTGGAGCTGGGCTGAAATGATTCTCCCCCACCGTAGTCATTAAGGGGGGCAAAGGCGCTGTGGTCGGTGAGGCCCTGAAGGACCCAGAGGTGTGTACAGACCCCATCCGGCTCACCACGCACGCCATGGGTGTCAACATCTACAAGGAGGGCCAGGATGTGGTCCTGAAGCCGGATTCCGAGTACCCAGAGTGGTGAGTGTGCCAGGACTGGGTAAGGAGGGCCTGGCTAACCAAATCTGAGGATCTGGGAGGGCTTCCCTGGGGAGGTGGTGTGTGAGTCGACCTGAGTGGGTGGACAGAGCTTTAGAGGTGGGCAGGAACAGCCAGTGCAAAGGCTCCAGGCAGAACTGCACCTGGTTTCTTAGTGGACCCCGGGAGGCAAGATGGAGAGTAGGGGGAGACAGGGCAGGAACTTGATGGAGCCCAGCTTTCAGGGGGCTGCAGGGGGAATTTTGCTCTTGGCCCTGAGAGCAGTGGCAGGATACAGAAGCTGTTGCCACGTGCCAATCCTTCAAGCTGGGGAAGGTTTAGAAAGGTTGAGCGAGTGGGTGGGGAGGCCTTACAGGTGGGCAGGCGGCACGGACAAAGGCCAGGAGGCAGGTTTGGCGTGCGCCCACCTCAGATCCCAGCACCCTTGGGATAGGGGCGCTCCCTTGTTCCACAACCTGGCACCCCCTTGTTCCATGTCCTCAGGGTGGGGAGGGACTGCCCTGAGGTCAGGGGGTCTGGGATGGGGGAGCCGCGGGGAAGGGGGCTGCTCTGCAACCCTGACTCTGCCCACTCCCCATCAGGCTGTTCCAGATGAACGTGGGTCCCCCCAAGAATCTGGAGGATCTGGACCCTGAGACCCGGGAGTACTGGCGGCTGCTGCGGAAACACAACATCTGGCGCCACAACCGGCTGAGCAAGAATCAGGAGTTCTAGCGGGAGAGGGACCAGAGCATCCTGACCCTCCAGTGACCTGGAGGAGATGCGGTGGGTCGGTGGGGGGGTACCTCCCCCAGCCCACCCCCTGGACTTTTTATTTTCTGGAAAAACACACTTCTCCGAGAACAGAGGAGACTACCACCCTCACTGGGGTTACTGGGTGGCCCCTGCATTGAAGCTGAATCAGGGCCCTGGGGGCCAATAAAGACTTCTTGGGGCAATTGCTGGCAGGCTCCAGATGCCTCTGGGTGTTGTCGTATGTCAGGGCCAGGAGGGACTTGGGGGAGGCAGTGGGGAGGTGGGCACTTCAGACCCAGTGGTCCCATGGCCCAGCCTCCACCCTCAATGATTGCTGGGCGTCTGCAGGTCCATCATCCCCTCCCGGCCTCACTGAGCTGCTCACCCTCATTCCTGGAATTCCTAGTGTTGCCCAAGAGGCCCCAACCTCCATCCTCGAGGGGGAGGGTTTTCTAGCCAAGCCGCTCTGGGTTGCACTGGACTCACCTGAATCAAGTCATCCGGAGCAGAAGAGAGTCTTTGTGAGCTTCAGGAACTGAAATGTCCAGGGGTACGGTCTGACTTCAGGCACGGCTGGATCCAGGTGCTTCAGTATTCAGCTATGTGGCTCTCCATCTCTGGGTCCTTTTAACTCCAGTGGGTAGTTCCCTCGGGCAGGAGTGGCTCCAGGGCTTCTAGCTGACACCCCCTATCCAGTTCAGCAAGCCCAGCCAGAAGAAAGGGACTTCTCATTCCTTTCTGCCAGGGTCACAGGGGTTATCTTCATTGGCCAGTCACTTGAGCTGAGGGACCTGGGCCTACTCATCATTCTCCTTTCCATCCACCGCCACTGGTGCCCACCAGATTGAAGGAAGCTGGAGGACACACACAGTGCCAGGACCACACTGCCTGGGGGGCTGGATCAGGGCCCTCTCGCCCTCCAGGCTCCTCCAGAGCTGGACAGGTAGGGCAGGGCAGGGTTCCTGAGGCTAATTCTGTCTGGTCCCAGGAAAATGAGGGCCCTCATCCTCTTAGGAGGACTCTGCCAGGCGGATTAGCCCACACCTGCCCTCGCTGGTGGCCTGTTCTGGGCAGGCGGATCGTCCCAACCCTCCCATGGTTCCCCATGGCTCTCGGTAAAAACAGAAGTTGTAATGGCCACGGGCCTCCTCACTGTTCATCCAACGTGCCAAGCATGGTGCTGCCCCTGGGCCCTCTGCCTGCGCCGCTCTTCCCCCAGATGTTCTCAAGGCTCCCTCTTTCACCTCCAGGCCTTTGCTCTGATGTTGCCTTCTCATTGACGCCTCCCCTGACTACCCTATTAAATTGCAACCCTGCCACACATTCCTGATCACCCTTCCTGGTTTTATTTTTCTCCCAAGCACTTACCACCAGCAGGTGTTTCATGTTCTACTTATTTTTAAAATCATGGTTCTTGTCTCTCTCCCACTGGAGTGGCAGCTCCACTAGGGCAGAGACTTTTCTCTGCTTTGTTCAGTCGGGTCCTTATCGTAAGTTGGATGGGTGGACAGATGATTGGATGGATGGTTGGCCTGGCTGCTGCAGTGTAGACAGCACACAGGCCATCGGGTTCATGTGTGAGGTGCCACCTGAGGTTGGAGGTGAGCGGGCCAGCTGAGAGCCCCAGTGGGCAGGCGATCTGGGTGTGAGGACCTAGAAGTGAAATTCCTGGAATGTCCTGGTACCTGTGGTAACTTCCTGGACAGAGCCTGGAGCGAGTGGGGTGCTGCCCCCAACCAGAACACGGCACTCTCCTGTTCTGACCCTGGCTGCCCCATCCCATAAGGAGGTGCCCTGTCATGTGGGCACTGGGCCAGCCCCAGGCAGCAGTGACATCCCATTCCTTGCCAGCTCCCCCCTTCCTCCAACCTGGAGTGCAGCTCAGCCCCGGGAAGGGTGGCCATGATGCCTTCGTGAGCAGGACCAACACCCCCCCATCCGAACAGGTGGGGCCCCAGGACGGTCCTTGGAGGCTCCCAGGGGGCGGTGTTTTCCACCAAGGCAGGCCTCAGCTGTGGCGCATCTCAGGTGGGGTCGGCAGGGACGTGGTCAAGGACACACTCTGGGCTGCAGGTGACAAATGTCTGCTCAAACTGACTTAAGCAGAAGAGGGAATCCACTGGCTCAAAGTGCAAAGTGTGGGCGGGGATGGGGTCCTGGGGAGGCCCCCCTTGTGGCTTGGGTTCCTCTGTGCTGAGCAGCCTCACTCTTCTGAGCAGATCCGTTTGCCCAGCGGCTCGTACTCTCCCAGTTCCAAGTCCCGGGAGAAACAGAATTTCTTTTCCCAAACGGTTTCAACAAAAAGTCGTGGGCCTGACAGCACCCGTGTCCCCTGCAATGGCAGGCGGATTCTTAACCACTGCGCCACCAGGGAAGCCCTGTGTGGTCAGTTTTTGACAAGACTTACCTGATCTTACAGGTGTCGCCCACCCCGCCCCCGCCAAGGCTCAGAACCCGTGTTCTAGATGGTGTGGATGGAGATGTTACCTGTTGCTCTGTGCAGTCATGGCCCCCAGCCCCATGTGGCCAGGACAGCTGAGGAGCGCAACATGTAACTTGTTGTCACCAGTTTGAACTTCCCAGCCACATGTGGCTGGTGGGGGGTCCTAGTGGACTGTTCCAGAAATCCGAGCTGGCCCCTCTGCTCCAGCCGGTCTCGCTGCCTCTTCTCTGACCGGGAAACTCCCAACTTGTCACCAGACATCGTTGCCTCCGGTCACCTCTAGCTCCCTTGCTCTGCAAACCCGATGCATCCTGAGCTTGGCCAGTTCTAGGGCTTCTGTAGCAACTGTTCATTCCCCTTGAGGGGACAGTGGGGACAAAGCCCAAGCGGCTGGAATGAGCTGGGGATGAAAGAAGAGATGGTGGAAGCTGAGGCCATGTGGCCAGGGGCGGCCTCGACAAGACAGGAAAACTTGTCTTCAGGCTAATGTACCCCAAAGTCACCCTGGGACCTGTGGACATGTCACCTCACGGGGCAGAGGAGACTTTGCAGGTGGGGTTAAGTTGAGGCCCCTGAGACAGGGATGACCCTGGATTCCCCGAGGGGCCCACTGTCATCCCAGGGTCCCTATAAGAGGGAGGCGGGAGGGTCAGAGGCAGAGAGAGACGGGAGATGCTGTGCTGCTGGCTGTGAGGATGCAGGAGGGGCCGAGAGCCAGGGAGGCGGCGCCTCTAGAAGCTGGAAAAGGCGGGAACCGATGCTCCCCTGGAGGCTCCGGAAGGACCCGCCCTGCCCACACCTGTGAGACCCACACAGTAGGGGTGAGGAGGGGGTCCAGGCAGCTGGGGAGGGACCCTGCTCCCCCTGGGCAAGGCAGACCCTCTGCTGCCTGCAAAAAACAGTCTGGGGTGCCTGGGCAGGTGAGGGGCGAGGGTTCTCCCAGCTCCCGTGCCCTGGCTTTGGGTCGGAAGAAAAGCCAGCAATGACCACCCGACCAGGGGTGGCGGGGCAGCTGAAAAGGGGACCGGTGTGGCCGATGTCCTAGCACCGCCCTCCCCAGCCACCTGTCAGCACTGGCCCGGGCCTACAGGGTCAGCTCAGCCACACCCTCTCCCCTGCCCCTGCGCCGGGCCGCGAGGAGCCCCCGCTGAGCTCCCGGCGTGGACCCCACTGACAGGTCCTCATCTCTCCCAGGAAGGACGTGGGCACACCTGGCATCAGCCCCGCCCCCACCCGCAGAGTCGGCAGGGGCCTCCAAGGGAGCTGCGGGGACTGCGCTGAAGGCACCCAAGTGTGCCGGCTTTCAGAAAGCCTCCACACCCAGCTCTCACGCCAACACTGCCGGGGCCCGAGTGTCAGGAGGCCCCACTTGGGGCCATGGGAAGCCCACCCTGCCTGGGAGAGGCCAGGGGTCTGCCATCCCCTCCCATCCCCCAACCCAGGGCAGGATGATGAACTTCAGGACAGGCAGGCTCCCAGCGCTGCGACACAAAACCTGGGATTCTGATAAACCAAGGCCCCAGACCACGCTGGCCCGACACGCTTTATTCAACACCACCCACAGGAGCCTCCCTTGGGGCCGCAGCCTCTGTGGAGGGACCTTCCTGGGGCCCGTGATGGCCTGGCCCCCGGCAGTGTCACTGCGGCCTCCGCAGTGCAGCGGCCGCAGTCCTCAGGGCTTTGTGCTTTGACTGGACTAGGAAGGATGCAGTCAGCCCAACCTCCTGGGCCAGAGTCCTTGGAGGGAGTGGGCAGCGAGTCCCAGCCCCGAGGGGCTCCCACTGCCACTGTCACCCCGCCGGGCAGGCCACGGCAGCTCACGGTGTCTGGCCCGATGAGGCAGCGACCCAGGCTCCCCCGCGCCCCCCGCCCCCCGACAGTAACGGCCGCGCGTGTGGCAGGGCTGGGACAGGACTGACGGGCCCTGGGGCTGCACAGGCTCAGGGTTCGTGTCTCCAGGCGATGGAGGGGCTGGGGGCCACCCCAAGGGCATTCCTGGGGCTGAGGGAAGGGGGCTGGCCCGGGGTCCACTCAGGGTAGCAGAAGCTCCCCTGGCCAGGGGCACTTGCTGCAGGAGGGGACAGCATGACTGACCGCCTCCAAACCCCATGCTCCACGGAGGCCGCTGCCCAGGACCGGCCAGGAAACGCGCCTGGGATGGGGATGCAGAAGCCCCAGGTACTGGGAGGCCCCACACCTGACAGATCAGCGCCACTGTCCCTGTTCTATGAGGTGAGACCGAGGCCTGGAGGTCAGCCGATGGCGGCGCTGGCCTGGAGCCTGGCCCGAGTCCGGCCATGAGCAGTTAGTTCTCTGTCCGCGGCGCTGACCATCAGGCTGGGCCGGGCTGCAGACAGTGAGGTCTTCAGGCGCTGAGGCCTGAGTTCCCGTCCGTGTGCAACAGACAGAAGGTTAAGCAGCTACGTGGACATCGGCCTCACCTCTACCATGAGTTTTACTGAAGGAAAATGTCCGGGTTGTGCCATTTGCTCTTGGGAGCGCTGTGCCCGCCGGGTGGGCCCCGGGGAGCCATCCTGCATCCCCTTCTGGAAGGGCTGATGGGCGGTCCGGGATACCGTCCCTCATGTGTGCAGGTCGGGAGGGGAGACAGTTCCACAAATGTTTCTCCAGCCCCGCGGGGAGCCTCGCAGGCGGCCCCAGTGGCAGCTGTCCTGTGCGAGAGGTCCAGGGCAGCAGCCACGGGGACCAGGCTGGCCCGAGTTCAGTGTGGAGCCATGACCCCGAGGAGGGGCAGACATGGGGGGTCCATCAGGCGAGAGGCCGTGCTTCAGCCATGTCCCCGTGGCCCAGGGGAGGGGACACGCCTGGGCAGGGTGAGGGCCGAGTCTGCAGGTGGCCCCGTGCAGGAAGGCAGGCAGGTGGGGCCCGTGCAGGGACAGAAAGGGCGCCACCCGTGCCTGGCAGGCCGTCCTCCTTGAAGACAGGTGCTCTCGGGAGGCGCCCGGCCCAGCACTGCTGCCACTGGCACAAGGCAGGCCCCAGGGACCCGGACCACCCATCACCCGTGGTCACTGCCCGCGCGAGCTGGAGCTGGGACCCGGCCAGTGCCTGCTCTACACGTGCTCCATCTCCTGGTCCTGGTCGGGCCCCTCCTCCTGGTCCCCGTCGTCCTCATCCCCGTCAGCGCCCGCCCTGCCCAGCGGTGCCTCGCCGTCCCGGGCCAGCTCCTCCACGTGAGCCAGCATGTCGGCCATCAGCGCCTCCTCCAGCCGCTTGCGGACCTGCTGCACCAGTTCCTCCTGCCTCCTGCGGACACAGGAAGACCTGCTGGCCAGGGCACGTCCATCTCTGGGGAGATGGGGGTGCTGCAAGCGCCCCGTCCAGACAGACGCCCCCACCCCCGGCCCCAGCACAGCCCCCAGGCCCTCCCCAAATCAGCGCTGCTGAGAGGGCGGCTGCCGGCCCGGGCCAAGGACCCCTGTCCCCTCCCTGCCGCCTCTAAGGTGCCCCCCTCAGCACGTGGACCTGACTCTGTGCCTGTCGCTCCCCTCCACTGGCCACGAAGTCCCTCCTCCCAGCAGGACCACAGCCACTGCCACTGCTGGACCTGACACCTACGGTTCCCACCTCACTGACTTTCTATTTCTGCAAGTTGTGCTTTAAAGATCTGCTTGGACTTTTCAGACAGTCGTGTTCTTTTCCTGCCCTTTCCCTAGGGATGAGCCTTGTGCATACACGTATGTGAACGTGCACACGTGTATGTGTACGTGTACATGCATATTTGTACGTGTTTGTGCGTACGTGCAGTGCATGCATGTGTATGTACACACGTGTGTACCTCTGTGTGTGTGTGTGTACGTGTGTACACATGTGTGTGGTCTCACCGCCGTGTCCTCACCTCTCTCGGGGCACAGGGCTGCCCTCTCGCACCCACCTGGCTTTTACCTGCAGTGCCAAGACTGCCCCCCCACAGCACTCCAGGTGCAGCTGCTCTGCCTTCCAGCCCCTCCGCCTTCTCCCAACCTCAGCTGTGCACTGATGTTTCAAAGCTGAACACCACGCATGTTCTACCCTCTAAGCACCTCTAGATGTTTCCTGCCCAGGAGCCACTTCCAACCACCTTCCAGGAGGCCCTCCCAGACAGCTCTACCCACACCTGGACACCACCCACAGGGTCCTGGCCAAGCACAGGCCCAGCATCCAGGGCCCGGGACATGCCTTGCTTCCCCTCAGCCCACCCTGCCTGGTCCTGCGTGTGCCAGCGCCCCCTGACCCAGGGCCTCACAGCCCACGTGCAGTCCCGCTCAGGGGAGCCATCGCAGGGCCAAGAGCCCTGTCCTCTCCCGCCCCCGCAGGCTGCCCCACCCACCAGGCGCCCACCTGTCTGAACCGAGCCCTCCCCCAGCCACTTCCACATCACACCTGGATACTGGCGGCGGGGGGGGGGGGGGCGCTACCTGATGTCCTCGTCGGTCACCATGAAGGCCTTGCAGAGCGGCTGGGCTGTGTTGAGCCACACCCCGGGGTTCTTCTCCACGGCAGCTGAGAGCTGCCCGGTGATGGGCATGGTGCTGGTGTGCAGGGCGCTGGCAATGGCCGAGAGCAGCGTCTCATCCGTGCAGCCGGGACCCACGCCTGCCGGGCAAGGGAGGGTGGTCGCTGCGGGCACCAGCCTTGCCCCCTCAGCCCCGATTTCATCCTGAACCTCCCTTTACAGCAGGCCCTGCCCGGTCCTGCATGTGCCAGGGCCTCACAGCCCACGGGCAGTCCCACTCAGGGGAGCCGTCGCAGGGCCAGGAGCTCTGTACCCCAGGCGTCTCCCTGTCTGAATCGAGCCCTCCCTGGCCATTTCCATGTCACACCCGGACGCTGCAAGGGGGCGGTCACTCCACGACATACAGGGAGACAACTACCCTCTCAGGGACAGCAGGGATGCTTTTATGGCACGGCAGGGAAACCAGACCCCCGAGTGTTTTCAGGACCCCGTAACCAGACGCGGCCCCAGCGTCAGGTGCAGCCTGGCTGGCCCCAGGTTGGGGGAGCACGGGCCTCATCCCTCCTCCATCTCCCCCTTGCCCCCTGCAGGGGGTCACCTTGCAAGCCCTTGGGGAGGTCCATGGTCTTCACGAGCTCCTCCGCGATGTCAAAGGCATTCAGGCCGCTCAGCTTCTTCTCCCAGAAGAGCTGCCGCCACACAGACAGACGTCAGGCCGACGGGATGGCCAGGCCACCTGCTCCCACAGCAGGCGACCCTAGGCGGCCAGGATGGGGGTCTCAGTGTGACCTCTGACCCCCACACTTGCTGGGGCTGCTCGCGCCCCAGGGTCCTCGCAGGGCAGAGAAACCCCAAGCCCTGTTTCCAGCAGGACGAAGACCCAGGACGTCAGATGCGCCATCGGACAGTCTGTGGCTCCCCTTCACCCTGGAGTTGGGGGTTGGGAGGTCCAACCTCCACCCCGGGCCGAGCCACGGGCCCAGGGCAACAGCCCTGGCCGACCCCTGTCACAGCCCGAACAAGCACTGTCCGTGGGCACCGCCTGGTGCAGACAGGGGACCCAGGAGCCCCCGGACGGGCAACAAGCTCACACCCTCGACTGCACCTCCAGACTCTGGGGAGGGGGGCGACAGGCAGCCCCACAGGTTTCTGACCTCTTACCTAGAGGGCTCCAACCCAAATGGAACAGCACCCAGGGCGGCTGCCCATGGCGGGGCCCATGCCCTGCAGGGTCCCTGAGCGTCTTCCCCTCCGACGGCCATGGCCCCCTGCTCCGGCCTAGCACCTCCACACCCCGCTATCTACCGGGCGTTTGTAAAGATGCGTGAAAACGCGGCTAAGGCTCAGTTTTTGGAAAACAGATCACAAAACTGCATTTGTGGGATCTTTTCAATCTGTTCAAGACAGCAGCCGGCCCGAGAAGGCCCCGCATACACGTGTCGGGTGCTGGTGCCCACAGGACCGTGCCCCGGGGTGACGGCTCCTGACCGCGGCGCTGGGGCCCCGGGCCCGCGGACTCAGCTCTAAAGAGTGGACCAAGTGCTGGAGCTCACCTGCCGGGGCTGCTCCACGGCCTTCTGGGGGTCGCTCTTCACCTTGTTGCTGGGGTGGTTGGTGATCTTGGTCACTGGCTGCTTGAAGATGGACGCCGTCTGCCTGACCGGGAGGGCCGTGTTCAGGTCGGGCTTGCCCTGCAGGGTCAGGCAGGGTCCTCAGCGGGCTTTCCCCGTCAGCGAGAAAGCCGTGCCCCGCAAGGGGCTTCGGGGAACAGGCCCCAGTCACCAACACACCCCGTGGCACCCACGGATCCAGATGCAACGCCAAGCCCAGGCCCAGCCGCTTCGCTGCCCTTGGTGCGGCCGCAGCGGGGGTTCCGTACACACACCTGCTCTCTCTCATCCCCCCACCCCGCCCTTCTCACCTCCCGCGCCTCGTTCTCCGCAGAGAACGGGCCTGGGGGCGCCCTGGCCACCTCTGTTCTGCAGTCGGGGCAGGGAACAAAGTCCCCCGAACATGCGTCCATCAAAGACCCGCAGACACACTGGTCACCAGGCGCCCAAGTGTGGACCAGAGTTGAGCCGCCTCCCAGGCCCCGTGCCCGAGCCTCTCCTGGGGACAGATGATGGGCGGTTTCCTGTCTTCTTTCTGCTTTTCCACAGCTGCTGAGCTCCCCCCAGTGAGTAGCTAGGCCTCTAACTCCAGGACGGTGGGTGAGCCTACCCAGCAGCGGTCGGCGTGGGCTCACCTTGACCTGGCTCGGGGAGTCATAGCGCACCCGCTGCCGGCTCTTGTTCATCTTGCCCATCAGCATCTTGCCCGTGCGGAAGTCGAAGGTGCTCAGGTCCATGGAGCCGCCCAGGTAGCGCGCCAGCTGGGGCTTGCTCCGGAACTTCTTCCCGCTCGGGCTGCAGACACAGCGCGGTCAGCGGAGGGGGGAGCCGGGAGGGGGGCGCCAGGCCAAGCCGGTCCACCCTCTCCCCAGCGCAGCAGATGCCGAGGCCGAGAGCAGGGATGGGCGCCCCGACCTTCGGAAGTATGGGACCCAGCCCTGGGAGCCTGGCTGGAGTTTCTGGAACATTCCAGAAGCAGAATCTGGCCATGTTCTCGAGAAAAGACCGAAGGATAGTAGGTCCATTACAGCATTATGGATCTGTCCTGTGGGGGCTGGGCTGTAAAACCTCAGTTTTGGGGCTCTTTGGGCACCAAAGAGCTGCCCAGGCGGGACCTGCTGGGAAAGCCTGAAACCTAGTTGTGAAGCTCTGCCATCCTGCTCACCCCACGGACCAGCGCAGGGGACTCGCCTTTCTAGGAAAAGCTAACGCCAACCTCTAGCTGCAGTGCAGACTCAGAGCTCATGCTACAGGTGACCAGAACGGGACCCAGTGAGCATTAATAATGACACGTCCCTGGGCACGGGGACTCCTGCAGCCACTTTGGGAAACAGTCTGGTAGCTCCTGTAATGGTTAAACAGCAATTCCACCCCTAAGTATCCAAGAGAAATCAAAACACATGTCGACATAATAACTTACACCTAATTACTCACAGCAGCATGACTCACTGGGCAGAGTGAAAACAGCCCAGATGTCCCTCCACACACGGGAGCATCACTCAGCCACGAAAAGGAGAGAAGCCCTGACACTCGCTACAACGTGGACAGACCTTGAGAACATGATGCTCAGTGAGAGAAGCCAGACACAGAAGGACACACAGTGTGTGATTCCACTGATGGGAAACGTCCAGAACAGGCAAATCGAGAGACAGAGAGTGGGTTCCTGGCTGTCAGGGACTGGGGCTTCTCTTTGGGGTTATGGAATGTTCTGGAATTAGTGGTGATGGTTGCACAGCCCTGAATGTACTAGAAACCAGCAAGCGGCACACATGATCCTCCAGCAGGCCTGGCACCCAACTAGGACGTCCCTGTCACTCTCCATCTGAGGCTAACGAAGGCCTGCACTTTGCTGGTCTCCCCTGAGAGCCTCTAGGCTGAGCCTGAATTCAAGCCAGCACACGCCCGCCCCCTCCAGGTGTCCCTGGGCACTGCGGACAAGTGGCAAAAGTGGGAAGAATGGAACCCCTTCCAGCCCCACCAGGGCCTCACCTGGGTCAGGGCCAGCCCCACCACCTTGGGTTCTGAGACCCCCGTGGACTCTTCTGGAAGATCCATTTTTCCGTTATGCTCTGTGCTGGCTGACGTGAACAGGGTCCACGTGCCTGGAGCAGCGGAAAGGACCCTGAGTCCCGACTCTGGCTCCAACTATAGCCACAAAGAGGGCCAGTACCCTGACAAGCACTCGCCAGCACTTCTTGGCCTCCAGTCACCCCACCTGCTGCTGTTCTGCTTTAAAAAATGCATGAGGACAGGGAAACAGAAACGCAGGACTGTAGACTAGGGGCTGGGGAGCAGGGCTAAGGGCAGAGATAGTTAAAGGTCTAGGGCTCTTCTGGGGGGAGGAAAAGGCTCTAACTTTGACCGTGGTGGTGGGTGCAGCTACCTGTGAATTGTACGCTTTACACGGGTGAACAGTATGGCATGTGACTCCTACCTCAATGAAGCGGTCACAAAAGTGAACGCAAGACAGAGAGTGGATGGGGGCTACGAGGAGCTGGGGAGCTAATGGACACAGGGCTCATTTTGGGGTGATGAGAACGTTCCGGAACTAGAGAGTGGTGATGGGTGCATGAAAACTGCTGAATTGACACTTTTAAAGACTGAATCGTATGGAATGTGAACTATATCTCAATTTTAAAAACAGGTTTTGCAGATCTGTATTGGGACAGAAAAATGTCTGAGCTGTTTTATCCAATGAAAGAAAAAAACTTCTGTAGTAAAAGCACAGGTGTAGAACAAAAATGAGCACTGCGGTCTTTCTAGGGAAACAGGCCTACCCGGTGGAGTAGACAGGTAGCCAGAAGCCTGGCGGCCCTCAGCTGAGTCGGTATGACCCTGAAGCATTGGGGCCGTCATGGGGATGGAGCCAGCACCAAGCGCGGAGCCCAGGGCCCGGGTCGGATGCAGGGCTGTACGAGGCGTGATGAGTGAGTGTTGACCCCAGGCCTATAAGGAGATTTGTAACCCGAGATGCCCAGTGAGGCCCAAACAGCAAGATGAAGCTGGTTCTGGCCAAGCTGAGCCCGCTGCCCAAGGAAGGGGGGTCAACCTGCCGAGTACTTCCTGCTTTCCTGAGTATTTGCACCTTTAAAATGACCTCTGGGGTCTTCCCTGGTGGCACAGTGATTAAGAATCTGCCTGCCAATGCAGGGGACACGGGCTTGAGCCCTGGTCCGGGAAGATCCCATATGCCGCGGAGCAACTAAGCCCATGCGCCACAACTACAGAGCCTGCGCTGTAGAGCCCACGAGCCACAACTACTGGGCCCGCGTGCCACAACTACTGAAGCCCACACACCTAGAGCCCATGCTCCACAACGAGAAGCCAATGCAATGAGAAGCCCACACACAGCAACGAAGAGTAGCCCCACTCGACGCAACTAAAGAAACCCCGCGTGCAGCAACGAAGACCCAATGCAGCCAAAAATAAATAAATAAAATAAATAAATTTATTTATTTAAAAAAAAAAAAAAAAAGAGCTCTGGGACTTCCCTGGTGGTCCAGTGGTTTAAGCCTCCACGCTCCCAAGGTAGGAGGCGTGAGTTCTACCCCTTGTCAGAGAACTAGGATCCTGCATGCTGCAATGGTGCAGGCAAAAAAAAAAAAAAAAAAAAAAAAAAAAAGCTCTGGAAAGTCCTCTCTATACCACACACCCCAAAGAATGACGCTAACTTCCAAGTCCTCAACTTCTTGCCTGGATTGTAAATGTCAGGCAGGGAGATGATTTTTCCAAAGAAAATTCTCGGCTGTAACCAGATGCTCCACCCCCATCTCCCAGTCCTGAGGGCCAGGTCACCAGGCTGGAGGGGTGTGTGGGTGAGTCCTACAGAACGGTCTGTGAGGTCGCTCCACCTCTCCTGCAAAGAACACACTGGCTCTCTCCCACTCTCTGGACTAGCAAACCAAGGTTCCACATCCCTAGGGGCAGGGCTAAGATCCAAGGACAGGTCTGTCCGACTCAACAGCACCAGAGATCTGCTTTCCCTCTGCATTAAGGAACCAGGAAGGGACTTCCCTGGTGGTCCAGCGGTTAAGACCCCGCGCTCCGGGCTTCCCTGGTGGCGCAGTGGTTGAGAGTCCGCCTGACGATGCAGCGGACGCGGGTTCGTGCCCCGGTCCGGGAAGATCCCACATGCCGCGGAGCGGCTAGCCCCGTGAGCCATGGCCGCTGAGGCTGTGAGTCCGGAGCCTGTGCTCCGCAACGGGAGAGGCCACAGCAGTGAGAGGCCCGCATAGCGGGTGGGGGGGGTGGAAACTCCCAATGCAGGGGGTCCAAGTTCAATCCCTGCTCAGGGAACTAGATACTTATCCCTCAACTAAAAGATCCCACATGCCACAACTACAGATACCGCAAGCAGCAACGAAGATTCCACGTGCTGCAACTAAGACCTGGCGCAGCCAAATAAATAAATATTTAAAAAAAAAAAAAAAGAGAGAGAACCAGGGAAATCCATCTGTGCTCCCTGCCTAGACACCTGGCTCAGCATCCGGTGGTGAGAAGGCCAAGGGCCCACATTCCAGAAAAGATATCACATCCCCCCCAGACCTCCGACCTGCTGGGACAGGGTAGGTCATCCACACCAGAGACCTGGGAGTGGCACTGTACCCCGCACCCCGCATCCTGTCTCAGGCCCTCACCTCTCATTGGAGCCGTGGGAAAACTGAAATTCCATCTGTCCAGCTCCAGTTTGGAGCCGTTCCCTACCACCAGACCCCTATGCTCGGGGGCGGGGCCTTGGAGCGGGGTCCCACTTGATGGAAGCCCGGAGAGGTTCCCAGGCAGGTGGGGACAAGAGGTGAGGCGATGACAGGCTGCGGCCCTCTAGCCACGCTGGCCCCGGTTCAGCTCCTGAGCCTCCTCACAGGCTGCTGGCGCTGCCTGGACCCTCCTCCTGGCCCCACTGCCAGGGCTCACCTCTGTGCTGCCTCCCCAGCCCTCACCGACCCGCCCCCAGCTGGACCAGGCACTCCCATCATCTGCCCCTCACAGACCCCCACATCTCTCTGCATATGTCATCACCTGTTAACTATGAAAGCAACGGGGTTGGGGCACCAGCTGTCACCCACGAGGGGAGGGCCCAGGTCTCACTCCCAGCTGCATGGCCAGGACACCCAGCATGTGCTGCAGAGGCATCTGTTAAATTAACAAAGGACTAGAGGAACAGAGACCTGCCTCAGTCTTCAGACCTAAAAGGAAGAAGTGAGAACGCAAGTGCGCTCAGAATTAAATGAGGGGAGGTGGTGAGAGGCCTCTTCACGCACCCAGAAGGAAGCTTCTCTAAACAGCCAGCGAGGGAGTGACGTCACAGACAGCCGCAGTGAGGGGGAATACACACGTTTCCCTAAAAGATGATCGTAACCCCACTATTTCATGCTTGACATTACGAGAGGGGCAGCCAATTACAGTACACACTGGAGGGCCACCAGCACTCTTTGGACACTAGAACCTGAGCTTGTCCTGGATGAGCTGCCATCCTTACCCTGCTCACTTCCTTCACTCCTCCCAAAACGAGGACAGCAAAGGCCCAGGACCTGCTGCACACCCCCCAACACCTGGCAGACATTCAACACGTGGCAGGTGTCCCGCCTGCTTTTCTTTTGTCAGGGTCCTAAAGCAAAGGGGAGGGAGCCATCAAGCCTGGCTCAGAAACAAAAGCATCTTCCACCAATCAGGAGGAAAAAAAAAAAAAAAAAAAAGGAAGGAAAAGGCAAACAGCAGGTGGTTGACGGTCTGGGGCTGGGCTTCCAGCCGCCTACTGATTCTGTTTCACTAGGGGCGGGGGGGTCCCTGCCACCTCTCTCAGGCCAAGGGCAGCCCTCCCTCCAGTTTGGGTGAGGGAAGCTCACAAAGGCCGCGTTCCCGGTCTGGCGACTGGAGAGGCCACTACCCACGGTGCCCAAGGATGGGGAAGGGGCGGCTCTTAAAAGACACGCAGCTCCAGGACCAGGCCACCCTGTGAAGGGCCCAGAAACCTGCATCCCTAGGCAGCCCTCCCTGGTCCCCCAAAGCGAACCCTGCTCCCTGAAACCCGGGATCCCCAGCCGACCCAGGCTGCGCGCGGCCCCAGGAGCGCCCCACGAGGACCAAAGGGACAGCCCAGCCCCCACCCCCGCCTCCCAGCGGCGTCTGGCCCGTGCCGGGGTGCCCCTTGCCCAGCCGGCCGCTTCGCCGCGGCCGCCGAACAAAGGCCGCCGCCAACCCGGGGCCGGTCCCAGGACCATGCGGCTGCGGGGGGGGAGCGCAAGCACACTGTGCGAAGGCTTCGCCGGGCACGCACGCGCACTGGGCTCGGGCCCGCCGGGGACGCACGCGCATTGGGCCAAGCGCCCGCCGCGCGCCGGCACGCACGCACGCATGCACGCACAACGCACGCGCGGGGCCCAGGCCGCGGCCCGGGTCGGGGCGCCCAGGCCGCCGCAGAGGCCGCTGGGAGGCGCCCGTTGGGGCCCTGCCCGGCCGGCACGTTCATTCACCTATAGTAAAAGACATCCCTGTGGCCGGCCGACAGCCCCGACCTTCTGGGCACTTCTTCCCTCTCCCAGCCCTGCGGGAGCGCCGGGCACTCCCACCTCTTCCGCTCCATCGCGCCAGGCTCCTCGGCCCGCCGCCGCCGCTGCCGCCCGGACCCCCGCTCGCCGCCGCCGCCTCAGCTGCCTCCGCCGCTGCCGCCGCCACTTGCCGCGGCTGTTCCGGCCCTTGGGCCTCCGCCCTCCGCCCCAAGCCGGGCGCGCGCCGGCTTTGCCGCCCTTTCGGCCCCCTCCCCGCGCTCGCCAGCCCCCGCTCGGGGGGCCCGCTCCGCCCACCCGCCCGCGCGCGGGGGCCCCGTGCTGCGCAGGCGCCGCACAGGTCCCGCCCCGCCCGTGGCCTCCGGCCCCGCCCCTCGGCGGCGGCGCCAATCAGCGCGCGGCCTGAAGGTGGGGCCTACGGCGGCGCGCTACTCGTCCGCTCCGCGCCTGCGCCCTGGCCCGCCCGCAAGTGGTTGGTGGCCCGTGCTTGCTGCTACGCTGTCCGCCTTGGTCTCTCCCGCGTCTCCTCCGAGGCCTGTGTCCCGGGATGCCCGTCCAGTGCCGGACCGCCATCCCGCCGCCTCCCTGGTCTCGTCATTGGCATCCGCGTTTAGGGTCATTGTCGGTGACCACCCACCTCCACACCCCAAGGCCCACCCGACGCTTTAATGACATCTCAGAATCCGGCCCCCTCTTCCTGCCTCCTCCTTAGTCCAGCCGCTTTCTGTCTCCTGGGGCTCCAGGCCCTTACTTGGGAATCTCCCGCCCCACCTTGTGTCCCCTCTCCCTCCCCCAGGCCCTCTCCTGCCTGCCCTGCTCCCCCAGGGCAGAGCCTGTCTGGCCCAGGTCAAGTACTTAAGAAAAGACTGCTGAGTGAGTGGCCTTAGCTGTGGGCAGTGCCAGGTGTGGCCTGGGCCTCCCGACGGGCCTGTCCTGACGTCGGGTCCCTGGGGGAGGGGGAGGCTGCGGGTGGGAAGGCCCTGGGCTCCCCCGAGGGCAACAGGCCTGGGCCGCGCACCTGGAGCTCCCTGCAGGTGTCTTCGCAGCCTTGGGGCCCCCCAGGTCCCTGCTCTAGTTGGAGGCGGGGCTTGGGCGGGACACCGAAGACCATGGCCCGCAGGTGTCACTTGTTTATTTATATTAAGTCCCTGGGTAAGTGCAACTTCTCAATTCCTTAACGTCCCTTTCCCTCCTGGGTTCCACAAGGGGTAGCTGGGCTGCTCTCCCAAAGGGCATAATGGCCGGGAGGCACCCTGATCGGCGAGCGGTCACCCCGTTACAAAGCTGGTTCGGGGCACTGTATGCCTGTGTGCAGGTCAGGCCCAAACCCACTGCTCCAGGACCTGGCCTTCCACAGAGGGCAGTACTGGTCGCTGTTGTGTTTTCTCCCAGTGTGTGCGACTTCGTTTTAATTTAAAAATCAAAGTTGCAAAGGTAGACGCGTGCATTGTAATCAGTGAAAGCACGTGAAGACTCTTAAAGGAAAAAGTTGTCAGCCTTCCTGTGACAGGAGACCCCAGCACCACCCCAGCCCTGCATTTACTTCTCTTGGGTGCACACCCAGAGCTGGAATCACTGGATCACGTGGCAATCCTACATTTTAATTTTTTGTTTTTGTTCATTTTTTGAGAAGGGCAAAACATTAATATATTTTTTGTAACTTTTATACAGTTTTCAAAGTGTGCTTTCCATTTACAGTTATTACCAAATATTGGCAATATTGCTCATGTCCTACAGCACATCCCTGAGCCAGTCTTACACCCAACAGTTTGTACCTCCCACCCCCGACCCCTATCTTGCCCCTCTCCCCCTCCACTGGTAACCACTAGTTTGTTCTCTATATCTGTGAGTCTGCTTCTTTTTTGTTGCTGTATTTTTTAGATTCCATAGATGACCAGGATCATACAGTATTTATCTTTGTCTGACTTATTTCACTTAGTGTAATACCTTCCAAATCCCTCCATGTTGATGCAAATGGAAAAATTTCCTTTTTTATAGGTAATATTCTATTATATATATGTACCACGTCTTTATCCATTCATCTGTTACTGGACACTTAGGTTGCTTCCGTGTCTTTGCTATTGTAAATAGTGCTGCTCTGAACACTGGGGTGCATGTATCTTTTTGAATTAGTGTTTTTGTTTCTTTTGGATATATACCCAGGAGTGGAATTGCTGGGTCATATGGTACTTCTATTTTTAGTTTTTGCAGAAACGTCCTTATCGTTCTCCATAGTGGCTGCACCAACTTACAGTCCCACCAACAGTGTAGGAGGGTTCCCTTTTCTCCACAACATTCTCACCAACAATTTTATTTGTAGACTTTTAGATAATAGTCATTCTGACAGGTGTGAGGTGATACCTTATTGTGATTCTGATTGGCATTTTTCTGGTGATTAGTGATGCTGAGCATCTTTTCATATGCCTGTTGCCCTGTGTTTAATTTTTTGAGGAACTGCCAGACTGTTGTCCACTGTGGCTGCCCCATTTCCCATTCCCACTAGCAGCGAACAAAGGCTCTGATTTCTCCACATCCTCCATTGTTATTTCCTGGGTTTTGACAGTCGTGTACCCATGGACATGTGGTGTTGGATTTGACCTCATGGTTGGATGATGGAAATGCAACGCCTCCACCTCAAGAACCAGCCCCGCCGGTCTCACTTGCTTCTCAGGGAATCTGAACCCCTCGGGTCCAGGCTGACCCCAGAGCATAGACAGTGGGTCTCTGGGAGTTACTTGGCCAGAGCCAAGGACTGTCCTCAAGAGACTGGTCCAGAGGCCTGACCGGGAGGGTGGCCGTGACCCAGGGTGCTGGCGGCAGACGCAGAGACGAGAGGCCAGGAGGCCTGGATGGGAGGGACGGGGGCTGCCCAGCTCCTCTCCCGTTGGGCTGGGCGCTGCTCCTTTGAAATAAACTCTTTGCCCAGGCCTGCTGGCCCAGTCCCCAAGCAGACGCCTTCTCCTGCCCGTCTCCACAAGGTGAAAGATAGAAATTAAACCAGGAGGGGCCATGTGAGGACCTTGAAAAGACTTTCGGAGGCAGGGTCTCTCTGCCCTGCAACTGCTGCTATCGGGGCCAGTGCATTCTCTGTGGGGTCATCCTGGGCACTGCGGGGTGTGGAGCAGCATCCCTGGCCCCGCCCACTCATGCCAGGAGACCCCCCCCCAGTCGTGACAACCACAGATGTCCCCAGCCAAGCATTCCTGCAAGCTAATATGAGGCATTCATGGCACTTACCTTGCGCAGAAAATTTAGTGGGCGCCAAAAACTTCAAGATTAATGGCAGTTAATGCAATATTTTAACAATCCGAAATGAATGCAAACAATCCATGATGAACAAAATGTCAAAAAAATTTTTAATTTTATTGTATAGTTGATTTACAATGTTATGTTTAATTTCCGCTATACAGCAAAGTGACTCAGTCATACATACATATTTTTTTCATATTCTTTTCCATTATGGTTTATCACAGGATATTGAATGTATTTCCCTGTGCTATATAGTAGGAACTTGCTATTTATCCATTCTATATATAATAGTTTGCATCTGCTAATCCCAAACTCCCACTCCATCCCTCCCCACCCTTGGCAATCACAAGTTTTTTCCTCTGTGTCTGTTTTTCTTCTGTAGATATGTTCATTTGTGTTGTACTTTAGATTCCACATATAAGTGGTATCATATGGTATTTTTCTTTCTCTTTCTGACTTACGTAGTATGACAGTCTCTAGTTGCATCCCTGTTGGCTTCAAATGGCATTATTCTTTTTGATGGCTGAGTAGTATTCCATTGTATATGTACCACAATTTCTTTATCCATTCATCTGTCGATGGACATTTATGTTGCTTCCATGTCTTGGCAATTGTATATAATGCTGCTATGAACATTGGGGTGCCTGTAACTTTTCAAATGATAGTTTTGTCTGGTATATGCCCAGGAGTGGGATTGCTGGATCATATGACAATTCTATTTTTTGTTTTTGTTTGGCCACACCATGCGGCTTGTGGGATCTTAGGTCCCCGACCAGGGATTGAACCGGGGCCCTCAGCAGTAAAAGCACGGAGTCCTAACCACTGGACTGCCAGGAAGGTCCCTATTTTTAGTTTTTTAAGGAATCTCCATACTGTTCTCCATAGTGGCTGCACCAATTTACGTTCACGCCAACAGTGTAGGAGGGTTCCCTTTTCTCCACACCCTCTCCAGCATTTATTATTTGTAGACTTTTTAATGGTGGCCATTCTGACTGGTGTGAGGTGGTAACTCACTGTGGTTTTGACTTTAATTTCTCTAATAATTAGCGATGTTAAGCATCTTTTCGTGTGCCTATTGGCCATCTTTGGAGAAATATCTATTTAGGTCTTCTGCCCATTTTTCGATTGGATTTTTTTTGTTGTTATTGAATTGTAGGAGCTATTTGTATACAAAATGTAAAAAATTTAAATACAGATTGAACAGTACTGTGCCATTTTAAAGTGAGACAAAATGAGGAAGATATGCCCTTTATACATTTTTAAAGCAATATTTACTGAACACCAACCTAGTACAAGACATTGTAGGAAGATATTTTTATTTTATTTATTTAGTTATTTTTAAATTTAATTTAATTTAATTTTAATTTATTTTCTGTTTTGGCCGCTCAGCGTAGCATGTGGGATCTTAGTTCCCCGACCAGGGATCGAACCCACACCCCCTGCATTGGAAGCACAGTCTTAACCACTGGACCACCAGGGAAGTCCCCCTTTATACAATATGTTTTTATGTAGTTTTTTTTTTTAATAAGTTTATTTATTTATTTATTTTTGGCTGCGTTGGGTCTTTGTCCCTTCGTGCGGGCTTTCTCTAGTTGCAGTGAGCAGGGGCTACTCTATGTTGCGGTGGCTTCTCTTGTTGCAGAGCACGGGCTCTAGGCACGCAGGCTTCAGTAGTTGCGGCTCGCGGGCTCTAGAG